GCAATGAAAAGGGAGACTGAGGATGTGGGGGTGAGACAAAAGACAATGGGACAATTAACAAGGAGCCACCCCATATTTCTGGCTGGGAAGAGAGGGTCTGCAGACCACCGACTGGGGACGGGGAAGCATGCAGTTGGCTTTGTGGTGGTGCGGTTACAGTGAGTCTGGGGGAGGGGCCAACAAGGACAGCTCAAAGTCCCTTATTCGGCATGTCGGCTATGCCGGGGACGCCCTGCACATCTCTACGGTCAGGGGAAAGAAACACCTCTGGGCATCCGAGTGCCGGTCATCAGCGGGCAGCCTGAAGAGCAGCGATCAGTGCCAGCGGATCTGAGTACTGGAGAATCTGGGTACCAGCACCCACACGCCTCTCCTGAGAGGAGGTCTACAGCTGGCTTCCATCCCAAGCATCGCGTGGAAAAAGAGGAACAAAATTCTACCAGAATAGACCTGGATGGACGGATGGACTCGTGATGGTGAATCACAGATCACATTGTAAGGGGAGGACTCGCTGCGTACCGGGAGATGAGCAGAACAGACAAGCGGGCACTGTCACGGCGTTCACGCCCGCAGGTCCTTCCAGGTTCCGACGTCAAGGGGTTCTCAGCACAAACCATGGCCTAAGCGGCACCCAAAAGGGACAGACTGCACCATGTGACCGAGGGGGACCAATGGGCTTAACGCAGAGGGTCTTAGGTTTTAATGCTAAGCTTGATAAAGGCTTGATAAGCGCCTGCATTAGACAGGAGGCGGCGCAGACTCACGGTGCAGGCTCAGGGAGATGTTGATGGTCCTTTCCTCAACGAAGCCCTTCAGATTGGGGATGCGGGCGCATTTGAGCTGAGTGCCAAAGGCAGAGTCGCCCACGTGAATCCAGCAGACCGTCTCCTCGGCGTAGCTGAAGTCCATGGCGCTGGTCTGCTTGGTGCTGGTAGACAGCAGGCTGTGCAGGGGGGAGCCACTCAGGGACGTGGCCTGGATGTTCTGGGAGTTGGCGATGAGCAGCACCGGGGGGCGGTCCACCGGATCTGGGCCAGGGGGGAGACAGTGTTGGCAAGGGCAGGCATATGAAAGAGCGTTTGGAGGGTCGGGGGATGGATCAGGCAGGAGATTCACAAGAACACAGGTGGGTGTGTGAGAATGAGGACATCAGTGTTGTTCAGCATGGCTATGGGGGGTGTGGGGGGGTGTGGGGGGGTGTTACCGTTCTTGGCTTTGCAGGAGCGGTTATCTGGCTGCAGCAGGTAACCCTCCACGCAGCTGCAGCTGTACGAGCCGGGGGTGTTGGTGCACGTCTGGCTGCAGATGCCGTACACTGCACACTCGTCGAAGTCTGCAAGGAGGAAGGGGGTCAGTCAGGGTGGGTCGGGAGGGGGGCCACTGCTGGAGATGCTGGGGGTGGGGGAGGGCGTCACGTCACCTTTGCAGGACTTCCCATCGGGGCCGACCTCGAAGGCGCTCCTGCAGTAGCACATGGGTCCGGCGGGCGTCACTGAACAGTTGCCCTGACAGCCGTGCTGGGTGCAGTTCGACGCGAACTCTGCAGGGATGGGCAGTATGGGGGAGGGGGGTCAGGCAAAACACTTCACTGCTGGAACTGGAGATAAAAACAAGGTGATGCTGCACAAATAACGTAATTCCTAATTACTGGGGTATTACGTGGCGTCTCATGGCCCTGTTCACTGGGACCTGGATGAGCCACCTGATCTGAAGATTGAACTTCCTGCCTCCCCCCCACCTCAGACACGGCACTGCAAGCTGGGGGGGGTGGGGGGGGAACCCTCGGGTTATCGTCGCTGAGGAAACACGCTTCCTCCATGTGCGGCGGCACCTCCTACATCCACAGGCGGAGCGGGACAGGCGGGGGGGGGGGGCGGGGGGGCGGGGGGGGGGGGGGGGGGGGGGGGATGGGTGTGACGACGCGCTCCAAAACAACGTGATCCATGGGGGTGGGGGGGTCTCTCAGGAAAAACACACCACAACAAAGGAGGTAAAGAAACCTTAAAGCAGATCTTCCAGCTGTCACTCCCACATTGTCCACACCCAACCCAATAAAAGCACAATCCCGACCTGGACTGTACACAGAACGCTTTGCAAAAATAACATGCATTCTGAAGGAAAGATGTCCACCCAACAGATACTCATGCAGAAAGGGAAAGGGCTGTGAATGAGGCTGCAATGTGACAGGGCCAGACTATGACGGAAACTATTTAAAAACCATAGTTACAGATAAAGTCATTATTATCGAATCCAGATGTGAGGCTGCGTGAGTCACTTTCCTGTGAGATTCATTTCTGAGTAAATGGTTACAGGGACACTGTGTTGGTGTCATGTATTGGTCACCCCCCCACATTTTCACTTACTTGGTCATCTTCCTGTCAATCATCTGCTTCTACACACGTGAGCAGGGCAGCCTGGTTGTGGGGGGCTTATAAAATAAATGCCAATGTCAGGGGGTGTCCCCAGTTTATTAAAAATTCAGGCTGAAAAGTACAACAGAGTTGCACTTGCCTCTGCAAGCCCTCTCACCTACGGAGTCTCCCAGAGTTACACCGGTGCACTGCCCCGCACTCTGCTACTTGGCCCTAACAATGGTCCTCTTTTTCCAGTCTGAGGAGGTGGCACACTGGCGGGACAGAGGGCGTGGCTGTGGGTTTCAGTCTGCCCCCCCCTAGAGAGGCAGCGTGTTTGTCCAGCTGTCTCCGCTCTCTCTCGCAAGAACTCGGTTACGCCGAGCACCCGTGCATCACGCCCCTCCCTCCACTAGCATCTCTCCTGTTTTAATGACGTGCCCCCCCCCCGTTCAGGACCTTTCTGAAAAGGACATGCTACAGGACGGAACCACGCACAGACGCAGACAGACAGCGGTGACAGACAGACAGGCAGACAGACAGACACAGACATGCGCACGCAGCCACACAAAGACAGACAGACAAAGAACATATACAGACAGATAAAATGGATACAGACTAACACATATATAGACACATACATACACAGACACAAAGACAGACATAGACACAGGCAGATTAAACACAGATACACAAATGTAGGCAGACAAAACAGACAGACAAATACAGACACACACACTGCCACACGCAGACAGAGGACAGACGTAGACAGATAACAGACATAAAACACACAAACACATACACATGTAGACAGACAGACACAGAGACAGGAGAGACACACAGACAAGTATCGAAACGCATACGCGCAGACACGAAGGCACACAAAGACTCACATGCAGATGCGCAGACACGAAAGCACACAAAGACTGACATGCAGACACGCAGACACGAAGGCACACAAAGACTCACATGCAGACGTGCAGACACAGACTCACATGCAGACACGCAGACACGAAGGCACACAAAGACTCACAAGCAGACGCGCAGACACGAAGGCACACAAAGACTCGCATGCAGACACGCAGACACGAAGGCACACAAAGACTCACATGCAGATGCGCAGACACGAAGGCACACAAAGACTCGCATGCAGACACGAAGGCACACAAAGACTCACATGCAGACACGCAGCTGAGGTACCAGATGACAAAAGGAGACAGAAAAAAATGGGGGAGGGGGGGCTACCTGGAAGCAGGCAGCCTGATTTCAACAAAGGAAAGTTGGCTGCAGAGCCAGAGCCCCGTCCGCGATTTACGGGAATTCTGGGAATATTTCCACAAGGTGCCTTTTGCTGAGCTCATGTTCCTCTTATAAGCAGTTCCAGCTGTTTGCTCTGAGAGGCACTGATGAAGTTACAGATACCAAACTGAAGGCGAAGGAGGGGATGGGGGGCATGTAATATGGGGAGCAGAGGGGTTGGGGGGACAGAGGCACACAGGGAAAGAGGCACAGGGGCGGTGGGACACCTCCGACTGGGATGGACCTTCCCCCAATAGCAGAAACGGACTTGCCCCCACTCTCCATTTCTGGGAAATGGAAACTGTCACAGGGAAGCCAAGGAAAGCGCCCACCCCCCCATCCCACTCATTCACAGCCTCCCCCCCCCGCCACCAACGGGAATAGGAGAGAAACAGCCCGAATTCGTTTTCTGTAACTGCTCAACAATTATAAAACCACATGGCTTCCAGCTCTGCCTTTGTCCGTTTATGTTTTAATCTCCCCTCGCTTCTCCTGCTGTGGGGGGGGGGTGTACCGGCGCCGTTTTCACACTCTCGCCGTGGTCGTGGCGACCGTCAGCGCTGGCTTCGCTGGCATGCGGGAGAGCACAGGCCAAGCTCCGGAACAGATGCGGTGCCACAGAGGCGTCCAAAGGATCTGGCTCCGTCTGCCTGCCGTGATTTACTGCCCTCACCTCAATGCCCCCGCCCCAGCCCCCCTCCCCACTCTGGTAGGTGGAGGGCCGTTCAAAGCACTTCAGACAAAAACTGTCTGGAGATGTGATCAGGCAGACGAAACTAAAGCGAACCAGCCTACCCTGCTGCCAGTTAAGACCCGCAGGCCCAGCGAGCCCAGCTGGGGGAAAAGGGCAACAATAAGCAGAATTTCAGGATTGGTTTTACACTGAACAACAATGTTCATAATTCCGGGGGGGGGGGGGGCTCAGTGTAAGCCTGAGACAGATTTGTGAGAGAGAAAAGCAGCTGAAGTCCTTACAGTGAAAGGCACGCGCTCTTTTTTAAAAACACGTGAGACCTGGAACATTCTAGAAAACATGGTATCAGGCCGAGCTAATAATAATAATACTGTCTTTGGTTTCAGCGGCCGCCGTCTCCCCCATGCCTGACGGCTGCACATCTGGAGCACGAGGAAGCACAATTCTGAGATTCCACTGGCCAAGAGGCGCCTCACAGACAGACCCTCCAACAGAGGTGAACGTGCTGGGGGGGCTGCATCAACTCACAAAGCAGGAAGGAAACTGCATAAGGTACCCCCCCCACTTCTGTTTTTCTTGAAGGTCATGTGTAGGAACGCCCCCCCCCCCCCAAGATGCAGTCTAAGATGGGACAGCCGAGCCCCCGCTCCCATCGCGATGGCGAAAATGGAGCCTAACAGGAAACTAAGAGAACCC